CTTACTATGTAGATGTGAAAAATCTTGAACTTCTTGGTCCTCCTGCCTCCACTTTCTGAGAGCTAGGACTGTGGCTGTTTCTCAGTTTTATGTAATGCCGAGGATCAAACCCAGGGCTTCATGCATTCTAGACACGAAAACTACTATCTGCCCTCAGCCAGACCCCAAAGAAAACAGTGAGTAGAAAGAAAGCGGGTGTTAGGGACTTCAGAGATGGTTCAGCAGCTAGGACCACTTCCTGTGATTCCAGAGGACCTGAATTGGCTTCCCAATGCTCACTTTGGGCAGCTTATAACTTCCTGTAACTCCAGCTCCAGGTGATCCAACACTTCTGATTTACATGCACACACACACACACACACACACACACACATACAGAGGCACATACACACATACACAGGCACACATATACACACACACACATTTTTTTAATCTTAAAGGGGAAAGATGAAAAAAGGAGGGCTCTGAGAGAGGATGTGGGAGAAGAGAAAAGATGGGTGATAGAAAAGCTTCCCCCCACCCCCTACAAATAACAACCAACCATACAACCATGAGGGGTGGGCCTGATACACAAAGGCATTTGGTATATAAGATCAAAGTAGAGAAAATAAGGTGTCTCAGTAAAGCCACCACTCAATTGGTAGGGGAGGTGGCTTCAAAGACACCCCCAAATTTTCACCCCTCATGGCAACACTTAAAAGGATTTGGGTTTGCTTACTTTACAGATCCTGGCCATAGTCAGGCTAGGCTTTCTGAAAGTGGAGGATGAAGACTTGTCACTATCCCTTTATTTGGCTGGGTTAATGGTACACACCTTTAATTCCAGCACTGGGAGGTAGAGGCAGGAAGAGCTCTGAGTTTGAGGCCAGCATGGTCTACATAGTGAGTTTGAGGACACCCAGAGCTACATATTGAGACTTTGTCTCAAACAACAATAACCACCACCACCAGCACCACTACCACAATCACCATCACCACCACCATTCTTTGGCTATCAATGATAGAAGTTTACATTGACCTGTTTAGCAGGTGTGTGTGTGCGTGTGTGTGTGTTTTCTTGTGTTATGTAATAAAGTTAGGGTAGAAATAGGAAGTAAGAGGCTCAAGAGTGATCATGACAATTATTTGCTGTTGGTGTCAGCTTCATTTTTCAAACTTAAGACTTTTTTTTATAGGACCATGGTTACTAGATGCTGTACAATATGAACATAATTCATTATAACTTCCCAAAATAGTGGGAAGGTTCTGTACCAACATTGCCAAGTATGGTAGAGGTTAGTGCTATGTGGTTAATAGGGCTGAGAAATCAAATGATACATTTTACTTAATTTATGGTTTTGAGACAGTCTTGCCACATAGCTCAGGCTGGCCTTGAACTCGCTATGTCACTTAGGCTGGTTTCAAATTTAAGGTGCTTTTCACGCTTCAGCCTTCTGAGTGCTGGGGTCACAGGAATGCACCATTACAATGGGCTTTCATTTTGATTAATTCATATTTAAATTAGCTTAAATTTAGATAGCTGAGGCTGAAGAGAAGGCTCAGAGGTTAAGAGCGCATACTGCTCTTCCAGAGGACCTGAATTCAGTTCCCAGCACTCATACACAATGACTTATAACTTCCTGCAATGCTGGCTCTACATACCAGTCAGTCAAGTAAGAGTTTTTCTCTGTTATAAATAATAAAAAAGAATACTAATTGTATGATTAGTAAATTACTCTTTGGTCAGTCTATTTAGAACATTTGCCATGAGGATAGCCTTGAGACCTAATCTTATTAGAGAGTCCCCATCTTACATCATCAGAGGGGAGAGGTTGAGAAGCAAACAGTTGAAGGAATTACAGTACTCCCAAAATGTGACAAGTCTTTCCTGGACAGGGAGCTGGGCCATCATGCATTTCTTGTCTGTGCTAGATATATATTTGGAAATATGGAAAGACACTGAGACCCCCTATGTTCATTTTTTTATATATAATACACCATAAAAGAAAGAAAGATTTCTGTGCCCATGATACAATTAGAGAATCTTCTGAAAAAAATAAAAGTACTGAAGCAGATGATTTTTCGAAAAACCGGGTGTCATTTGTGATGCCATTTACACTGAAATGCTACTGCAAAAACCTGGCTTGCCCAGCAAGCTGAAGAACCATTCTAGTTCTTCTAGTTAGAAAGGTTACCTTTGGAGATGGTGAGGGAGGGAGAAGAAGAGGAGAAGGAGGAGGAGGAGGAGGAGGAGGAGGAGGAGGAGGAGGAGGAAGAGGAGGAAGAGGAGGAGGAAGGAGAAGGAGGAAGGAGGAGGAGGAGGAGAAGGAGGAGAAGAAGAAGAAGGAGAAGGAGAAGGAGAAGGAGAAGGAGAAGGAGAAGGAGAAGGAGAAGGAGAAGGAGAAGGAGAAGGAGAAGGAGAAGGAGGAGAAGAAGAAGAATGGATAGCATTATGGTCTGCTTTTAGGACATCAGCCAAACCCCTGGTTAGCTGTAGGTAACCCTGCCCAAACTTGGGAAAGAGGTCAACTTGGGTATCACTCAGCTGCCCGGCTCTGGGTTCTTAACACTTTGTTCCTCTAAGAGTTGGGATAGGAGGGTTTATTACTGTTACAGAGCTTCTCCTTGCCACAGGCTCTGACGAATAAAATATGACCGAGTTTTCTATATTGCTACAACTATGGTTCAGCTAGTCACAAACAGGAGAGTAGTGACCAAATAGCAAACTTCTCCCTGGTGTTCAACAAACAATTGGTTCTGTGTTGAGTGGACAGCTGCCAAGAACACAAATACTTGGGGCTTTGTGCAGACAAGATCAGGGATTCCCAGTTGCAGAAACAGGATTATTTAACTCTGCTGAGGGGTGCTCTGGAGCTGGGACTCCACACTCTGTTGTCAGCAGAACTTGGTATTTTAAACTTCTGAAGATGCACTTTTCTAAATCAACAGTTCCCTTGCTAAAAAACCAATCCCAGCCATCTGGAATATCTAAGCTTTGTAGAAGAGGTTAGAAAACGAGCTGGATCTCTGATGTGAATTCTTTGGACTTATGAGTTCTTAGAAAACCTCTGGCCTAGGTTTTAATGGAAAAATAAAGAATCTGAGGTAAAGGTTTGAGGAGGACAAGGAGCTACTTAATAACACCTTTCCCAAATGGTGTTTTTGTGTGTGTGTGTGTGTGTGTGTGTGTGTAACCTAATCTCCACTTTGTCCCCAAGAAGTGACTTTGTTCTGTCCATCACCCACCTGGATGGAAGCAGGATGGTTTTTTTTTCTTGTTATCCCTAACCATCCCCTTGTTTTTTCTTAAAAAACATCCTTAATTTTAAGTCTTGTGTCATCTGAGTGTATCATTTTCTGCTTTCCAACTTACGTTCATCAACCAACCTCCAGATATGTTTTCTGAAATGCCTTAAAGATTGTTGTTTCTGACTATGACTAACCTGTGCTTGTCATATTTATTTTTTTCAGTACTTTCAGACTTCCCCTGGACAATTTGTCCATTGCACTCGTCTTTTATTTCATTGACTGCACATGGTCATTTAGCCTGTATGCATATTTGTTCACTACGTTTGTGTCTGGTGCTCACAGAAGTGAGAAGAGGGTGCCGGATACTCTGTAAGACCCATTTTCTTGTTTCCAGAGTTAGGGATCAGAGATTATTCCCTGGCTGCTCTAACAAGTTGGCCTTCGTCACACGTGCTTAATTAGCCAATTGAAAGAGCCACATTAAACATGAAAAGCAGAAAATGCTTTATTCACTATGGTCACAAAGGGAAGAGGGACAAATAGGTCCATCTTCCAGGAGTCCAAACATGAGGATTAAGTTTAAACAGGAGGCATAATTAAACAATCCTGGTCAAGGTATGGTTATTGATCCATAATTGTTTCAGCTCCTGTCTCCTGCAAGGTGGTCTGATAAGTTGTTGGCACTCTGGGACGTCTCTTTCTAATTTCTGGGAAACAAGTTTCCTATATGGCTGGCACCAGACTTCAGCCTTTCCCTTCTCAAATCATGAGATTCTTGGGGGAAAGACCTATGAGGTGATTGCCTCTTAACCAGCCTTTCCCCGTGTATTCTTATTCCTAATTCTCAATACAGCGTATGGGGTGATTTTTTTTTGAATTGGTACTCATTAGCTCACAGTTCTCTGACAGTGCTCCATCTCAACATATTATAGTGCTCAACACACTCTGTGTGACTTGACACGCTCGCCTCGGATCTTCCCTTTCACCCTGTTCTAGTCAGCCTCCTTCTCAGTCAGTCAGTGCTCCCACATAATGCTCATTCTCTACTCAGAACATTGTGTGTGTGTGTGTGTGTGTGTGTGTGTGTGTGTGTGTGTGGCGGGTGTGTGTGTGTGGGGTTGTATAGATGCCCAGGGAGGCCAGAAGAGGATGCTGCATCCATGGAGCTGGAGTTACAGCAGATTGTGAACATGTGGGTGCTGGGGTATGAACTTTGGTCCTCTGGAAGAGCGGGAAAGTCTTAACCATCTCTCCAGCTCCAACCTGGAACAGTCCTATACCTGGGTATGATGGTTTGTGACTGTAACACCAGCCATTGGGAAGGCTAAGGCAGGAGGATTGCAAGTTCCAGGCCTGGGCTACATAGTGAGTTCAAGTCCAGTGTGGACACTTTAGTGCCTTTTCCCTGAGATTTCCTCAACGGTGAACGCTTGCTCGCCTGCTCACCCTGCTAGACATCTGTCTATGAGATTTGACACAACTACAGCACCAGAGTCCACAGAGCAGCCGAGTCTAACTAAGCTCGCTGTGGCTTTCACTAACCGGCATTAGCCCTCCCATCCAAAGGACAGGAAGCGGAAGTGACGTAACCCCGGCGCTCGGATCCCCGCCTTCCCAGCCCAGGACGCGTGACGAATACGGAAGGGGCAGGGCAGGCGTCCGCCGCGGTGTGACAGTTTGCTGTTTGTCCTTTGCGTAGCAGCCCGCGGAGTTTGAGTGTGAGGAGGTCGGGATCGCGGCGGGCTCCAGGCTTCACAGGTTCCCCCGTCCATCTGCCCGGGCCTCAGACGCCCCTCCGCCCCCGCTGCGGTGGGTGGGTCGGCGCATTTCCACAGTCTTGTCCCCAGCGCTCGCCTATGCTCACCTCTGGGCAGTTTTTCATCTCCCAAGTGAATCCTCGTTTCTTCATCCTCTTGTCTCCGTTCCTTCCAGAGAGTAATTTTTAAACCTTTTCTCCCCCATCTTTATTTCTTGTCCCTCTTTCTCTTTTCTCCTAACCAGAAATCAATGCCAGGAGATATGGCGCCCCTCAAGAAACATCGGAATCCCACAAAATTGCCCCTGGCTTTAAACCCCACGAAGAGCAAGGACGTTTTGGCAGTGCTGGCTGAGAGGAACCAGGCTATAGTACCAGTTGGGGCTTGGGTGGAACCTGCCTCACCAAATTGGTCGGGAATCCCACCACATGTGAGTGTCAGTTGACCCAGATGCTGCGATCGCTGCCTGCCTTTTTTTTTTTTTTTTTTTTTTTTTTATTAGCCTTCTCTAATTTTTGGTGTTTAAAGAGGATGCTGTTTCCATTCTGTTACAGATTATATTCTTGTGTCAGAATTATACAGTAATGATGTATTTTCCAAAACTTGCTTCATCTTTGGTTGACATCATCAAATGTTACTTAGTTCTTACAATATATAGGCAAGTAGATGAGTCTACTTCACAAACTTGATTGTTTGCTATGAAATGCATAGGTACCACGTACCTCTTCCCGACACCCTGTAACATAAGAAGGATGGTAGTTGGTCACTCTTCAAATGTTCCTTAGTTCCCCCTCGTGTATAAGTTTTTAAATGAGGATCCCGGCAAAATGAAATAAGAAAATAAAAGAGGTTAATCCTGACAGAAACTCTGTGGAAGTTGTAAATTCCACGAGGACAAGGGAGTTCTTGTTTCTTCTTGTTTTGGGGTAAAGTAGGTCCTTCAGGATGTAGTTGTTGAATGAATGAGGAAATATGGTCTTGGTTGTCTGTTAAGGAATGGAAATGCAGTAAATGCAGAGAGGGTGGAAGTGGTTCAGATGAAGAGACACTCTTGCAAAAGTTTACACATGTAAATATCTGATTCTCTTGCTAACAAATGAGAGCAGTTTTGCACGGTTTTTGTTTGGCTTTGTTTAGTATCTCAAGAAACCATTCCTTAGCTGGTCGTTCAGATTTTATTGTGCATATCGAGCAAAGTCACGTTCCACACCCCTTGTTTTTAAATTAAATAATACGGCCTAATAGACATAATAATGCATAGTAAGTATCTGTGGAGCATAGGAGATATGCAATGTTCTTAGAATTTGCCAGGTGCTAAGCATGGGTGATCTTAGAGGAGAAACACGACATTTAACTAGTACATGCAGATCTGAGAGGTGGCTTACAGGTAGACATACTTGGGTTCAAGCCCGATGAACTGAGGTCCTGGAGTCCAGGTGCAAGCCCTGTATTGAGGTGGGAGGCAGACAGACGGGAGAACCTTCCAGGAGCTTGTGGCCGGGAGTGACACAGCAGAGGTAAGAGAGACCCTGTGTAGCTGGTCTCTGCTACTTTGCAGGTCTTTCTTTTTTTCACCCTTCTCCACCCTTCTCTTCTAACCTTTCAGTCGTCCCCTGACACTAGATAACGGGGGAGGGGGGTGGGGGGGAGAGAAAGAAAGAGATCCCTGAGTAAAGTCAGGGGTTAGAAAGGGGACAACATTATTGCTAGCTACTTCCTGCTGATTAGAGACACCGAGTTCCCTGGGGCAAGTTTGATCTTTGTCATAGGATATGTAATTTCTTCTTGCCTCTTCTTTGAGCACAACTACCTGACAAACCCTAAACAACAACTAACTAACCAACAACCCAAGCACACCTCTCAGGGCCCTGGCATTTGTATACCCTCTGAAAAGTCCCCAGAATTCCAAATGTCACACAACTGTAGAAACTTATCTGCAGCTGACAAAATCATGTCCCTGTTAGAGCACGAGGCAAATCACAGTCACCGGCTATGGGCAGTCTGAAGTAGCCCTATCTCTCTACACCCAGGGTCAAAATGAAAACACATTCTCATAATATTTGTGTGTCTTTTAAAGAAACCAAAACTCCAAAACGTCACTATAACTGTGCCTTAAAACCAGGTGGAGGGAGAGAGGCAACTCCTGAAAAGTCCTCTAATCTCCACACATGAGGCCATACCATCGAATGCACACATTTGTACACACATGTATACATGTACACACGCATGTGCACACACTAAATTTTAAAAATGTTGGGTTAGAGAGATGGATGGCTCAGCAGTTAGGAGAATTGGCTGCTCTTCCATAGTTCTCAGCACCCACATGGCAGCTAACAACTGTTTTTTAACTCCCAATTCTGGAGAATCTAAAGCTTCTACAGACATGTAGTATATAAACAAACACCCAAGCAGAGCACCCCAACACACATAAAAGATAAAAATTAATATTAAAAGATTATAAATGGCTAGATGTGGTGGTGCATTCCTTTCATTATAGCGCTGAGGAGGCAGCCACATTGGATTTCTGAATTTGAGGCTAGCCTGGTCTGCATAGGTCATTCCAAGTCAGACATAGTAAGACCCTGTCTCAAACAAAATAAAAAACCCCAAAACATCAATGCCCTCCAGTTATAAATGTTAATAACACAATATTAATAACACAATGCAATATAGCAAGTTAATTTTATTTATGTTCATAGTATATATAGTTACACATTCACTGGTTGATGCCTACTTTGCTACTTTTCAGGAAGGAACTTAAAAGTCGGACTGCATGTGATGAAGTGCTAAGACTATCTGTCTTAATCAAAGAAGAAAGATAAGACTGGGTTGGTTGGGAAAATTTAAAAGAATCTGGATAGGTAGATAGATGACTTTCCTATTAAGGGGACTGAAGACAGTTGGAAATACGGAAGTGGCTATTAGAAGGTGGGTTAGGTTGGTTGAAGGGGAAGGTTTAGTGCAAGGATGGAGGCTGACAGGATTTGAAGATAAGGGGAGTGGGACATTCTATAGTGATAGAAAGTCGTGGGGAAACTATTCACTGTTTACTGTTTATAGGTAAGTTCCATAATCAAGCTGTTCTGATTAGATTAACTGCTTCAAAGTGTTAAGAGTTAGGGAGAGATTGGATTGAGAGGAACAGATTAGAATAAATTAAAACAATTCAGACGTGAGGCGTAACATCGGAGTTTCTTTAGTAATGGGGAATGGAGGAGAGGAACACCTTGAAAAGGTGCGTGAGCCGGGCGGTGGTGGCGCACGCCTTTAATCCCAGCACTTGGGAGGCAGAGGCAGGCGGATTTCTGAGTTCGAGAGTTCGAGGCTAGCCTGGTCTACAGAGTGAGTTCCAGGACAGCCAGGGCTACTCAGAGAAACCCTGTCTCGAAAAACCAAAAAAAAAAAAAAAAAAAAAGAAAAGGTGCGTGAAGAAGGAGTCAGTGAGTAAGAATTGGTACAAAGCTCTGTTATCACTGAAGACAGCGTACTTCGGCAAACTGTTAATTCCATCTGTCTGTGTGTGTAGTGCGAAGGTCTGAAGGCTTGCCGACATTGGTTCTCTCCTCCCGCCATGATGCCGAGCTTGGTGATGGCACTCAGCTCCTCCGAGCCTTTACCTGCTGAGCTATCTCACTGCCCCAGTGCATCTTTTTAATGACTAAGACACCTTTACAGCCTCAGTAGTATCATACTGCTCAAAGTCTTTTATCCTGACACCCTGTTTGTTAAAAATAGTTTAAGTACTCACATAGTCAGAATATTAAAGTTTTGAAACACATACAGATTTTCTCCTTTTAAATAATTCTACAATCAGTTTCAGTCAAGCATCTGGTAGATCTCTTTATTACTAAAACATTGGGAATCCATTCTTGCTAACAGCCCTGACACTGTCAATTCGGAGATACAGTAGTGACTTCTAAAGCTTGTGTAATATAAGGGCATTCCTATTCTCAAGAAGAACTTAACATTTCAAGGTTTGTAAAAGACTCATAGCTTCAGAAATTCATTTCTCTTTGGTAATTACTGGTAAATTAAATTAATTTGGTAAGTTAAATTATTATGAAAAGTCACCATGGTCTTGTATATGATTTCTCTTGCATGTTAACCTCCCCTCCCCTTATCTTTTGTTATATAATGAATGATATCAGAACATAGTTGCATAAAGCAGGTCATACTGTGGTGTCATGTCTTAACTGCTTCAGTGTCCTGGGCCTCAGCTGAGTGGCTTAAGTAACTGGATATTTGAGACATCTTCATGGGTCTGGATGTTAAAGTTCTTAGTTCTTTGTAGGCTGTAATGTCCAATAAGGCTTTTTCATGTGTGTGGCCTTTGGGCTAGGATGGTTAGAATACCTGGGGGCTGGCGGGATCTCTTTTCATACCATATGGCTAATTTGGCTAGCTGTGCTTCCCTCCAACATGGGAGTCTCAGAGTAGTCAGAATTCTTTTGTGATACTGGCTTTCCCCATGGTGGGCATTCCAGAGCTCCAGTAGAAGTTGCTTAATGGCCTTGTTGGGGAAGTCATAGACCCAATGCTTCTGCCTCATTCTGTTGTTTATACAAAGACAGATACAATCCAGTGTGGGAAAAGACTATACAATAGCATCAATACCAAGAGACTTGATTTATTTAGGTTAAGTTATATCATTTTTGAATAATGTCTATATAATTTAAGCATGATTTCCATCATACATAAATTATCCAAAGAAAGGAGTGTTAAGCATGTCCTCAGAATTCATAATCTAGGAGGAGAGTTAGTAAGTGCTACATTTTAATCCTATTAAAATGAAATGTGCTGTGACATAAGGGCTCAGGGGAGAGTGCTGGGACGAGGGATAGTCCTGAAGACTAAGGAGGCCTTTGCTAGGTGGATGAAAGGAAAGCTAAGGTACAAATGAGTCAAAGGCACTTGAGAGACAGAGATAGGAGTTTGAGGTCAACTGCAACTATGTAGTGGGCTGTAGACTAGTTAAGGCTATAATAGTGACATGCCCCCTTCCACCCACAAAGGGTGGCTAATTCTAAGTATGAAGACACTGGACATAGGGAACATGTCTGGTGAATGGTGAGTCTGTTTACTTATATTAGGAAGCATAACACAAATGGGTCAAAATCAGTTCCTTAAGAATTAATGAAGACATCTTTAGTTTCAGTTTAATAAAACATTAATGTTTGATGATACAAATATTCACAAATTCCATTTTCTTTAAAGCTTCTGGTTTGCTTTGAACTCTTGGGACTCCCTAACTGCACTTAGATCAGTGGTTTTGAACTATTATTTCCTTACTCTCCTGGAGAGAACGTAGAACTGAGTTTGTCTTCTTCACAATTAATATCCTAACTTCTCTGCAGTCACGGCATCCCTCATAGGCCAAATCCACGACGTTTAAGTCCACTTTCTGTTCCTTTCTTTAAAGACTTCAGCGTGCATAATTGAAGAGGAAATAAAGGAACAGCAACGAAGAAAGCAAGAGTCTCTGAGACATTTTCAGAGACAAGTCAGACACCGGGTCAGTCAGCACGTTAAGCTGAGGAAAAAGCAGCAACTTCACAAGTCTCACAAAGCAGTAAGTTCTGAAGTGAGGTGTGGTGTGAATGAACACACGGTGAGGCCATAGCACCATCACTCCTCTTTCTGATTCTGGTTGTTAAAATCCAAGTTTCTACTGAGCACAGCCAATTTTCATGTAGAGAAACTGTTTTTATTCCTGTTCTGTTCCAACTTGCTTTTTAGCCCTTTTACTAAATGTGTGTTAAAAAAAAAAAAAAGCTAGGATTTTAGGTACAGATTTAAGTTTGAATTCTATCTTTGTTACTTAGCTTTGTGACCTTGGGCTAATTAACTTTTCTAGTTGCACAGTAGTTTCCTTATTTATAAAGTAGGCAAATGCTGAGTATGGTGGCTCATACCTATGATCTCAATACTTGGGAGGCTGAGGCAGGAGGATGGCCATGAGTTCCAAACCTGGACTATAGAATGAGGACCCTGTGTCCAAAAAAAAAAAATCATCAATATATATACATATGTACAATTTATCTCTATATATGATATATATATATATATGTATGATATGTGTATTAGGGTTCTATAAACGAACAGAACAGATAGGGAATTTATTAGAATGACATATAGGGCTGTGCTCCGATGTCTGTCTCTGATGGCGAGGCCAGGAATCCTGTAGTCATTCAATCCATGGGACTGGATGTTTTTGGAGTCCCAATCTGGTGCTAGAGTCCCAGAGGATCCTTCGAGAGCTGCTACTCTTTAGTCTGTGCTAGAATCCCAAAGAAGTAACTCTTCATACCAGCAGGTCAGCAGCAGGGTGGATGAGCTTGCCAGTGAGGGTGAGAGCAAGCAGGCAAAAAACCAAAAGTTCCGTGTTTTTTTATGTGGGCTGCCACCCGAAGTTGGCATAGATTTAGGGTGGGTCCTCATACCTCAAATCATCCCATCAAAGCAATCCTTCACAGGGGTGCTTAGCTCTTAGTTGATTCCAGAAGTAGTCAAGGTGACAGCCACAGTTAGCTATCACAATATAATATGATACTTAAGCTTATAGGATTGACTAGGAACTAGGTAAATTATTATCACGTGTTAGTTCCTCCATCAGCTAGACCTCCTCCCCCTCCTCCCTTGTCCCAGTTGAAAGTCTTATGGCTGCTAGAAGGTATTTTCTGTGTTCCAATGGAGTAGAGTCTCATTATCTCTCTTTTCCCTTGGTGTAGGCAGAAAAGGAAGGCGCTATAGCCATGCGGTACTCAGACTCGGCACATTTAACCTCTAAAAGGACAAGTGTGTTCCCTAGCAGTGTGAATGCTGCTGTTGGAAGTTTTAGGTTTCCCTCTTCCCAGGTGCTTGGTGATGCAGCAGAAGATGGAGAGAATCAGAATCAGTTGTTTCAAAAGCAAGCCCAAGCTGTAAGTACAGATACGGTGTATTTTCTGTCTCCGTGTTTCCCTTCAGTCCCCTGACGTATAGATACGATCTGTTCAGGGTATAGAATAGATATTAGGAGTCGACCTATTGACTTTCCCCCTTTTCTTTGTGTATGTGTGATGTATGTGTGTAGGCTTGTGTGTGTGTGTGTGTGTGTGTGCACATGTGCGTGTATAGGCTTGAAGTTAACATCAGTTGTCTTTCTCAGTCACTCTGCACCTTATATATTGAGGCAGGGTGAGCTCGGTGCTCCGTTCCTATCTCTGACTCCCATATGTGGGATTTGGATTTTTATGTAAGTTCTGGGGATATGAACTCTGATCTTCACAGTTATACAGCCAGCTCTTACCAGCTGCTGCCACTTTTTATCTATTAAAAGTGGGATAGTGTTTATTTTCAGTTTTCAAAACCTGTTTATTTATGGATTGAATGCTGGTTGGTTGATAATGTCTTGCTGTGTACCCTAGGCTGATTCAAGACTCGTATTTGTCTTCCTTCTATCCCCCAAGTACTGGGGTTATAAACATGAAACATTATGTGTTCCTTATTTATGAGTATGCTTTCTATATTCATTTGTTTTTGATAAGACATTGTAGAACTGTCTAGAGAAAGGTATCAAAAGTCTAGAATTAAAATTTATTAGTCGTGAATCAAAGAACATCAAATTTACCAATTGAACTGAAATTATGTTGGTGCCAAGGGATTCAATACAGTTAGTGTTTTATTTATTATTATTATTTTTTTGCTTCTCTTACTTTTGTATTTTAAACTAATTATAACAATAAATTTATATGTACTATATGTCAGGTAATAATATAGTAAATTCTTACATATCCAGAATACTTGGAAAAAAACTTTAGTGACCTTTTTAATGTAACTAATACTTAAAAAATTAAAGCACTGTGAGAAGCATCATTCTTCTCATCCAGTCAGTTCCTTCTTGGTGACCTGAGCTCTTCTTGACGTGCTGTTTACCTTTGCTTTAAGAATTGTTCTTCATTCTACTTGAAAACAGATATTTAGGGATAGTGTGAAGAAAAGAAAAATAAATGTGGAAAACGATGACCACATGAAAACAAAAGCTATTTACTCCAAGTTAATGTACTTTTCCAAGTCCTTGCATAGCTTCAGGGCTTGACCTAACTGGGGCAGCGAGACAGACATATAGGGACATATGAACAGAAAAGCTGCAATTAGGTAGACCAGGCTCTCTGATGGAGAAGCCACAGCACCCTGAAGTTCAGCATGCTTATTATTTAAAGTTGAACAGTGAGATGTGTTGTTGTCTGAGCTGAGGAAGCAGGGCTTATGGTGTACAGCCGGATCAAGGTGGCATGCTTAGCTAATCTTAGGAGCTGTCTCTGTAGGGGAACAGTTTTTGGGTCATAAATATCAGTGGGGAGCAGGAGAAAGCTAGGTTAAACTTTTTCTGCATGCATGATAAACATCTAAACCAGAGAAAGGATTTGCCATTCCTCCCTTGCTGAGGTCTGGTCGATTACTGTGTATTGTGATGCTAAATTCTGACCATCAGATCTGGTTGCTTCAGGGAGGAGGGAATCCTCATTTATACCAAACGATGCTGTGCAACCTTGTTCCTTAATCTAAAACTATTGGTTAAATAAAGATACCTACAGCCTATAGCTGGGTAGAAGAGAGGTAGGTGGGGCTTCGGTTCCTGGGGCTTGGGTTCTGAGGCAGATAAGAGGAGGAGAGAGGTGAAGAGAGAAGACACCTTGGGTTATCGGATCGTGAGAACTGGCCAGTCAGAGCAAGAGCAGCCCATACAGAACATGGCAAGTCATATCTTGGAATTATTGACAGGAAAATAGACAAAATAACTTAGAGGGTTTGATATCTGCTCAGCTATAGTGCTGTTTTAAATATAAAGGTTTGAGGTCTTTTATCTGGGAACTAAACGATCTAAGGTGGGATAGAAACCCCCGATTTTTACTACAACAATCCCTCTGAACTCATCCAAGGAAGGCTTTGCCACTAGCAAGTCATTGGAGTCTGACACTTTGAAAGAAAATGGCCTCCATAGGTGGTGGCACTATTGGGTGTGGTCTTGTTGGAGGAAGTAGTCACTTGGGGCGAGGCTTTGGGGTCTCAGATGTTTAAGCCATGCCTACTGTGACAGTCACTTTCTGCTGCCTGCTGATCCAGATGTAGAATTCTCAGTTACCCCTCCAGCACCATGTTTGTCTGCATACCACCATGCTTCCTGCCATGGTGATAACTGACTAAACTTCTGAACTGTAAGCCAGCCCCAATTAAATATTTTCCTTTATAAGAGTTGATGTGGTCACGATGTCTCTTCAGAGCAGTAGAAACTCTAACTAAGGCAGAATTTGGTATCAGGGACTGGGGTATTGGTGCTAGGCCTGCTTGACCATACTTTTGTTAGAGGAGAGTGGGCTTTGGATTAGAAAAGCAGCTGAATATTTTAAGTGGGACTTCATGGGCCGTCCTGTCAGGGCCGTTAGACTGTGGTGCTGAGGGTGGTTTGAACCTGGCTGAAGATCGTTCAGAGGAGAAGAATGTCAGTGTAAGGCCGAGAGACTAGCGTGTGATATTTTGGTGAAGAATGTGGCTCCTTCTGCCCTTATTAAAAACATCTGCCTGAGGCTAAGTCGAAGTGTTTGGATTGGTTGCATTGCCAGAGAAAATTTCAAAACACCGTAGCATATACTCTGTCATGTGGTTATTAGTGTTCACTCTTATGAAGATCTAATTAAAAAGGAACAAAGTAAGCAAGGAAAAATACAAAACGTACAACTCAAGGAGAAAAGGGGCACCAGGAAGTGGAATGGAGATAAATGGTTCGGTGTAATAGAGGGAGTGGTGACTTCTGGGCAAGAGCCTACCAAGCTAAGCTTTCAACTGGTGAAAAGGAATTAAAGAAAAGGTCAGAGCAGCTGTGGTGATGCACACCTTTACTCAGCACTGCAGAGGCAGAGGCAGAGGCAGAGGCAGAGGCAGAGGCAGAGGTTGGCAGATCTCTTAGTTCAAGGCCAACCTGGTTTTCAGAGTGAGTTCCAGGACAGGCAGGCTTAACTATGGAACACAGGAGGCTAACGAAGTAATTGAATGAGGGGGGCGTGTTCCAGCACTAGCGAGCAGAACCTGGCAGCTTCAGCCACATGGTTCTGCCTTTAGAGTCAAGGATAGAAGAAAAGGGTCATGGAATCGCCCTCACAGACTAAGGAGAGCCACAGAGCTAGCATATGTCAGGGGTGTCCCTGTGTGGAAGCCGAGAGAGGCTACTAGGTGAAGCTGTGAAAGTGAAGCTTTGGTTGCCTTGGAGATCCCAAAACGTTGGAGATGGCTAGCATCCTGTGATTTGTGCTGAGCAGAGCTGCTAACAGGGACTGGAAACAGCCCAAAAGCAAGAAGTGTGTTGCAGTTAAGAAAGCTCACAGGACACCGGGCAGTGGTGGCGCACACCTTTAATCCCTGCACTTGGGAGGCAGAGGCAGGCGGATTTCTGAGTTCGAGGCCAGCCTGGTCTACAAAGTGAGTGAGTTCCAGGACAGCCAGGGCTACACAGAGAAACCCTGTCTCGAAAAAAAAAAAAAAAAAAAAAAAAAAAAAAACAAAAAGCTGACAGGAGTGGAGATCTGAAAACTGTCAGCCATGGAGACGCAGAGTTTGGAGCTTGCCCAGCTGGTTTTGGTCTGGCTTTGATCTAATAGTTCCTCACTATGCTCTCTTCCTACCCGTTTGGAATGGGAATGTATATCCTGTGTCATTATATGTTGGAAATATGTACTCTGCTTTTCAGTTTGATTTTATAGGGGACTGTAGTTAAGAGATTGCGTGAGTGTCAGAAGAGACTTTGAACTTTGGACTTTTAAACAGTGGTGAGACGGTTAAAGACTATAAGGACTTTTGAAGTTGGGCTAATGCATTCCTGTATTATGGTATGGCTACAAGCCTATAGTGGCCAGGGGGTGGAATGTGGTGGTTTAAAAGAAAATGGCCCCCTTAGTCCCCTAGGGAATGGCACTATTAGGAGGTGTGGCCTTGTTAGAGGAAGTGGTCACTGTGGGGAGGCTTTGAAGTCTCAGATGCTCGAGCCATATCCAGTATCGAGTCACTTCTTGATGCCTGCTAATCTAGATGTAGAACTCTCAGCTACCTCTCCAACACCATGTCTGCCTGCATGCTTCCTACCATGATGATAATGGACTAAACCTTTGAACTAAACACCAGCCCCAATGAAATATTTTCCTTTATAAGAGTTGATGTGGTCGTGGTGTCTCTTCACAGCTGTCAAACCCTATGACTGGGTCCATGACATGGCTGTGTTTTTTCAGCAATACACATTCACTCAGAATTTCTTCACTCCCCACAGTGCTTGGTCATTATTGAATTGTGATCTATATATAAGTAGAGAGAGTATTCAAAAAGGCATGCTATCATCTTCAAATCTTGTTTTAAAATTTCTTTTGCCCCAAATTTTTCATTTTGGGGGGGCATTGTGTGATCTGTAATCATTTTTATAATTATTTTAACTTTCTTTTTTAAGTTTATAAATAGGAGCCAGACATGGTGATATATACTTATAATTTTAACCTTCAGGAATATATAAAGTTTGAGGCTATACTGGGCCATGTAGACTCTGCCTTAATAAAAAAGAAAAAAAAATGAAGAATTTATTAAACTAGACACTGGGTACATTATAAGCAATAGAAGAGTGAAGGATAGGTTCAGTCTTTACCATCATGATTGTAAATGTAAATTTCACTGTAATAGAATTTCTTCTGGCTTGAACATATCAGTCAGCGTGTAAGTGAACACATTATATGTGTTAAGCATTGTAGGAGGTGTTATTAATATGTGAAACAGGACCCTCTATAGGTTTATATTTCCTGAAAGATACTCTGTAGTCTGTTATACTCCAAAGGTGGTGCCATGGGAATTCCAAAATTTTAAAATGTAAGGGAAGAGTACAGGGAGAATTCCTGCAAGAGACAGA